GATATCCTTCTCCAGTGACTGGTCCCTCTTGATAGTATGTCCGAAGTATGAGAGATGAAGTTTGGCCATCTTGGCCTACAAGGTGCACTCTGGCTGTGTTTGCAATACAGATTTGTTTATTCTTTTGGCAGTCCATGGTACTTTCAATATTCTCCTCCAACACCATAACTCAAATGCATCAATTCTTCTGTGGTCTTCCTTATTCACTGTTCTACTTTTGCATGCATATGAGGCTATTGAAAATACCATGGCTTGGGTCAGGCATACCTTACTCCTCAAACTGATATCCTTGTTCTTCAACACTTTAAAGAGGTCTTGTGCAACAGATTTGCCAAATGCAATACGTTGTTTGATTTCTTGACTGCTGCCTTTTTACTGAAGGCTGTAGTATATAATAGATGACATGATTTTATATATAAGAGAAAGAATGTTTTTTAAATTGCCTTGGTAGTTCACATTTTCATTAGCTATGAATTGACAGTGTTTTCAAATCAGGGCATTTCCGTTCATCTCATTCATCTTTTTCTCTCAACTTTCCTTTGCTTTTTTTCAGAGTTTAAATTATACAAATGGAGCATATGGTCCACCATACCCCCCTGGCCCTGGGGCAAATACTGCCTCATACTCTGGGACTTATTATGCACCTGGATATACTCAGACCAATTATTCCACAGACGTTCCCAACACTTATCGTTCACCTGGCAACAGCCCAACCCCAGTCTCTCATTGGATGTATCCCCAGCAAGACTGTCAGACTGAAGTGCCCCCTCTTAGGGGGCAGGTTCCAGGATATCCGTCTTCACAGGTGAGCAGTTTTCTGCTGGGGAAAAATTAAAGTGTCTGCCTCTTGAATTGTAAATAGTGCAAATATATCTATTTACAGCAGTGCTGATTTAAGAAAGCACTCCATTCACTAAATAGGATATTCAGGTGTCTAAGAAGAACATTAAGGAGCTCTGGTGTAGTATAGTGGTTATAAATTAGGGTGTTAACCTCAAGGACAGGAGTGTGAAATTACCATCTGGTGCATGGGAGAAAGATAAGACTTTCTGCTACCGTAAAGATTTACAGCCTTGGAAACCCTCTGCAGGGTCACTATTGAGTCAGAACTGACTCCACTGCACATCACTACAACCACTACCAAGAAGCACATTAAAAAGAGATGCTCAAGGTCCCTCATCATCAATTAAACAGATGCAAATCAAAACCACCATAAGATATATATTCATTCCCACTAGGATGGCTAAGATGAAATAAATTGGAAAATTAATATTGGCAAAGAAATTGGAACTTTATCCATTGCTAGGGAATGGTACAAGTCATTATAGAAAACTGTGGTGGTTTTCTAAACATGTAAGCATAGCTTTTCTTTTCGTGCCAGTAGCACTCCCGTAAACATGGTGAATGTTCCTAAAAACTGCCGGACTATCTGTAAGAAGTGTGTCAAGCACCAACCCCACAAAGTGACACAGTACAAGAAGGTCAACAAAGATTTTCTGTATGCCCAGGGAAAGCGGTGTTATAACAGGAAGCATAGTGAATATGGTGGGCAGACTAAGTCAATTTTCCGGAAGAAGGCTACAACTACAAAGAAGATTGTGTTGAGGTTTGAATGTGTTGAGCCCAACTACGGTCTAAGAGAATGTTGGCTATTAAGACATGCAAGCATTTTGAACTGGAAGGAGATAAGAAGAGAAAGGGCCAGGTGATCCAGTTCTAAACTTCATCTCGTTTTATTATTAAAATGATAAAATCTTGATGTTATGTTCACTTAAAGGAAAGTATATATGTATATATGTAAGCATAGAACTGCCTTTGTTGTTGTTGTTAAGTGCTGTCAGGTCAGTTCCAACCCATAGTAACCCCTGTATAGGGTTTCCAAGGAGTGGCTGGTGAGGTTGGACTACCTTATGACCTAGCAATTGACACATATATGCCAGTATTCTTTCAACACTATTCAGAATAGCCAAAAGGTGGAAGCAGCCTAAGTATTCATCAACCAATAAATGGATAAACAAAATGTGATATATAAAATGGAATATCATTCAGCCATACAGAGAAATGAACTTCTGATACATGGTATGACATGGATGAACTAAAAATCCTTAAGCTGAATAAATTAAGTCAGTCACAAAAGGAAAAAGATTGCATGTTCTCTCTCACTTGAAATAACAAGAACAGACAAATACAGACACAAAATTTTATTAGTGGTTACTAGGATTCAGGGGAAGAAGGGGCATTCATTGTTTAAAAATCAGTGTGTGTGTGTTTATAGTGATGGGATATTATTTTGCAGTGAAGATAGGTGGTGGTTTCACATGATTAATGTAATTGATAACACTGAATTGAACACCTGGAAAATTTTGGGTTCTATGAGGGGCTTTTAAAAAGTTCATGGGAAAATGAAATGAAAAGATAATAGAATTGTTCTAGAAACTTTTTGCTGCCCCTTGTATGCATTTTTAAAACTATAAACAACTCCAGATTTTCAGTGGTTATTTTAGCGATGATTGAGAAGGCAAAGACTAATTTTATATTGATATCTTTTTTATTTGTAGCAACTATTCCAGTAAATGAATTTTGGCTAAAGATACCTTAGGATGCCATAAACATAGAAATGTTTATACTAAAAGAAATCTTTAAAGTTATTGCTTGAAACTTTTCCTCATCTTAGCCTGTTAATGCTCTGTTAGATGTGTGTTTTTCAGTATGCCACAAATAACATTTATTTCACTGTTCACTTCAACAGAAATTCTAATATGTCTTTATTTTTGCCTTCTTAAAAGATATTTCCCTTATTTGTAGTATCTATGGGACAGACTTATTTTGTGTCAGCTATTGAATTTCAGGTTTTATTCCTTCTGACTACCACCCAATGTACTCCTAATATCTTTAGGATCAAGATATCTTAGGCTTGGTGAACATACTGTAACTAACTTGAGTTGGTACAATTTAGCCTAATGGCAGCTAACATATACTCTATTGAGTTGAGAGAAAGCATCTCAGAATCTGTCTGTACTAGAATATTTTCAATCACTTTAAGTTTTTGTTGTTTTTTTTACAATGACCTGCCTATTTCTTGCTGTCTCAATCTAGAACCCAGGAGTGACCCTGCCCCATTATTCTTATGGGGATGGTAATCGTAGCATTCCACAGTCAGGACCTAGTGTACGACCACAAGAGGATGCGTGGGCTTCTCCTGGTGCTTATGCAATGGGAACCCGCTACCCCTGGCCTACTGGTACACCGTCAGCACCACCTGGGAATCTTTACATGACTGAAAGTGCTTCATCATGGCCTAATAGTGGCTCTCCTCAAACACCTCTGTCACCACCACCCCACCAGTCCAAGGTAGGGGACCTTCTAAACATTGTGCCTTTGATGCATGGATAATGAAGAGAGCACAATATGGAACTTTTCTGCATTGAATGACTAGTACCTATAGTTTGACCTCAACCCAATTTCATTTTTAAAAAAAGATAGGAAGGTGTTTGTTCTCTGTTGGTTTCAATACTGAGTGTTAAAAATACAATAAAAAATTGCATTTTGCTACTCCAAAGACAAAAGCAGTGTGAAGTATTGACGTGCAGTATTAGCTTACATAGTTTAATTTTAAATTAGACTGTGTACTTGAATATCAAGTACTTGTGGCTGGTTTCCTATTTAACATCTGCCTTGGGATTTTAACTTTAGAGGGAAAATATCTAATTCCTATTTATTAGTTCATTGGAGAGATTGTGAGGTGTTTATGATGATGATCTGTCTCAAGACAAATTCCAGCCATTATGCTCAAGAATTCTTTGCCTTTTCACAGGGCACACCCTTGTATCTTTTTAGGGTTGTCTTTTTTTCTCAAATGATTAATTAGTTTTATTGCTGGGTAGTGTTTTCATGTGCCTCCTAATTAGGTGAAAGATTTTAGTGGATTCCCATTAAAACAGTTTTTCCTCCCCTTTTGTTTTCCCACTCCAAGGATTCTTCATACCCCTATAGCCAATCAGATCAAGGCATGAATCGGCACAACTTTCCTTGCAGTGTCCATCAGTATGACTCTTCGGGGACCATGAACAATAATTCAGATCTTTTGGATTCCCAAGTCCAGTATAGTGCTGAGCCTCAGCTGTATGATAATGCCACCAATGAAAATCCTAGCCATCAAGATCAAAGTACTAATCATCCTGAAGAGTGTTTATCTTCAGATGAAGGCACTCCTCCAAGTATTAAAAAAATCATAAATGTGCTGGAGAAGGTCCAGTATCTTGAACAAGAAGTAGAAGAGTTTGTAGGAAAAAAGACAGACAAAGCTTACTGGCTTCTGGAAGAAATGCTAACCAAGGAACTTTTGGAACTGGATTCAGTTGAAACCGGAGGCCAAGACTCTGTCCGGCAGGCCAGGAAAGAGGCTGTTTGTAAAATCCAGGCCATACTGGAAAAATTGGAAAAAAAAGGATTATGAAAGGGTTTAGAACAAAGCAGAAGCCTGTTACTAACTTGACCAAAGAACTTTTAATTTTGGTTAATTACACTCTTTTTGAAATGGTTGTTGATGACTGGAAGCAATACATTCCAACTTTCCTTTGATTTCGAACTTCACAATCTGGCAAAGGACTTGGAAGAACATTGTAGTAAGAATGTTTTCAGACCAATGAAAGTGATAGGAAAATGTGGAGTTACCAATATTGCCAAGTACATTCATTCCTTTCCTAAGAAATTTATGGGTATTTCCAAGCTGCTTATCACCAGGAAAAAAAATAACACTTTATGTAACAGGCTTATCAGAAACCTACCAGATGAGACTGGATATAATCTGAGACAAACAGGCTCTGTCAAATTTTTGTACATTGTGACTGCTTACGAAGTACACTTCATGTGTAAATTACAGCTTGGACTTTAGCCTTCTCGGGTCTCTGTTTTGTGTGTTATTTGCAGTTCATAAATATAGTATTACTCTCTACTTCTTGGTATATTTTGTAGTAATATGTTTAATATAATTATTTCAAGAGACCATATTAACAGCCAGACAGTGTGGCAATTTTGAATGAATTTATATCTTTTCGCTACTTGAATATATTGCAATGTATAAGGAGTTCCTGAGGTAAACTGTTTGTCTCCCATTTTGTATAGATCACTATACAATTCTATTTTCTTGGTAGTATTAGAAGAGCAATTTAGAAATGGCATTGATACAGAAATGAGAATATTTGAGGACATTTTTCTTGCTTTTTATCATATTTTGGATAAAGATACTTTTTAATTACCTTTTTTGTTGTTGTTGTTGTTAACCAGTAATTTTCTTTGTAGAGAAAGCATTGTAATTGATGAAAACTAATGCCACAATGATTAGATATAATAACCAAAAAGAAACACGATCATTTTGTAATACTATTCTCCATCTAAAATACTAGTTTCTCTTTCAAGATCCCTATGAGCAGATTTCAACTCAGTTTATAGTAGAAAACAATGAGGATAAAGGGGGATTCTTGCTCAGGGACTGAATCAGCCATATCTAGAGTGGGAAATTATTTTCTTTTTTTAAGGGTATATTTGAAGATTATCTCTATTTCCATATTGTAATTGCATAGAAGAGAATTGCCTGTTTTATAAAAAGATGTTTATTTCCATTAATAACAGTCCTTTAAAAGCCAAATTTATGGAAGGAGTATTAAGAATCTTAGTTGGGCTTGCTGAAATAGCTCCAATGCTGTTATATAGAAAGGACTTATGTAAATAACTTACTTTTTACATCTGAGGTGAGTTTAAGTACACAGTATCTGTTATTAGAAAAATAGCTGTTTCTTAATAAGATTTTCAGATGATAATTTTTTTTTCTATACTGCCAAGCCTATATATATAATAAATCTATCAGCCATTTCTTCCCCCTGTAAACCAAACCAGTATACCAATACAAGCACACTATGTGATAAGAAGAAATTTGGTAGAAATAATGGCTAGGTTTTGTAGTTGGGATGATTGATTTTAGAATGTTACATAGTGATGATCTTATTATAGGATTTCTACTTTTTGGCCTAACATAGGAATGTTGAAGAAAGGCTTTTCTGTGAAAATCAGGCTTATAACTAAAGCTAAAAACTTAAAGACAGTACCTTAAAACTAAGTTACCATAAACCAATGAGATAATGACTAATTTAGGATAGAACACTCATGTTTAACTTACCAAGTGCCCAAAATGCCATTTTCCACGAAGTCTTGATTTATGTGTGTGTGTGTGTGTGTGTGTGTGTGTGTGTGT